AAGAGAATAGGTATGTTTTAGTCAAACTTCCAGTACAAAGTATCGTGGCAAAATCTGTTTTCTGTGGATTCTTGATCTCTAATCCCATTAAGAAATGTGTAGTCAGTGGGAGGGAAATGACATTGGAGAAACAGTCTGACTCGGTTGCACATGGTAGCATTATTTTTGCCCTGTGTGGGCTCAGAGAGGAAAGGGAGGGAAATAAAGAAAAGAAAGAGGGAGGGAGGGAAACACAATCTTAGCCTTCGGGTAAATTAAGAATACATCTCTGAATGGTAATTTCTACTTTTAAAAAATGGTTACAATAATAGCTTCTAGTCACACAACAATTTTGGGATATCAAATGAACCCAAGAATGTGAAAGTGATTTGTCCATAAGAAAATAGTATCCCTCTTTATATAAGACATCTACTACCTGCTTCCACGTGCAGTTTAGAACTATCCTTTTACCTCTTGATATTTTTACTTCCTGAATTCTCTACACTTATTTGTAGAAACCTGTTTCAGGAAAAATAATGTGTTGCTTTTGGGGGGATGTTTCATCACACAGCTTCTCATTACTTGTGTGAAGCGCCAAGAACCTTGAGAGGGCAGGAAAAAAATCCTTCCTCTCTAGCTTCACTGCAGCTTTCCTTTCGACAGTGCTCCAGTACAGGCTGATTGGCTATAGAACCACAGGGATTTGATGAAACAAAGCGTTCCACAGCAATACAGAATCCAGATGCTTCTATCTCAAGGGAAGTACAAGATATGACCTTGGTTGATCGTTGGTAAGCATGCTAGTTGCCTAGCAAAACTCAGAAGTCCGTGGAAAAAAGGCATAATTCCCTTATTGATTTATATTTTGAAGCTTTCACAATGTGATGCGCTGCAAATGGAGTATCCTTACAGAAAGCTTAGAATAGCATGGAATTTTTTACTACCACAGCTGCTGACACGTACCAAACAATCTTATCAATGCCTGTATCTGTAATGACAACAAAATGTTATGCTACACAATATGTCTATGCCTATAAAGCACTGAGAACGTGGGATATTTTTAATTTGAAAGATGAGCTCATGATGGGTGAGATTTAAATAACCACGTTTAAAAAAATCTCAATGTGAAACTAAATTTGGTTTCCTAATGCTACACAAATTTGATAAGTCATCAAAAATCCTTTACTCTAAGACAGGTTTTTTTTTTTTTTTGAAAGTAGAGATAAATGCTAAAGAAACAGAATTCACCAATAATAACATTCCTAAAAATTTATATCCATATTCACATGCAGATAAGACCACTGCGGCTAAGTACATACTTTAATCGAGATGAAAAAAAAACCCAAACATTTTCTAAAAACCTGTACATAAATTTTTGGACAAGTGAATAATCTGAAATGCATTTCTAGAAACAAGAAACTCTTTCAACTACTCTTCTCACATCAGTTAACATCCTCAGGTCTTTCACACAAAAAATATTCTAGGTAGAATTTTTATCTCTTAATTCTGTGCTTTTCCCTCCCATTTTTTTTCCCTCTCCATAACATGAATACAGTGAACTAAGCAGACTATTTATTGAAAAGGGTACTTTTAAATTAAATTAATCATTTAATTATCTCTAAAAATTATGAAAAATCTGTCAGATTTCATTTAATACAGTTAAATCAGCAATTTAGTAAACTAACACATTGCCAACTACCACTGCTAATAAATGATGAGCTGAATGATTTTGAGAATTTCTTTTTTTTAATATGTATTTTAATTTTTTTAAGATTTTATTTTTAAGCAATCTCTATACCCAATGTGGGGCTTAAACTCACAACCCGAGATCAAGAGTCAGGCACTCACATTTTGATGACTTGTTGGACATCATAAAATATGTCTGTTTTCTTTAATAAGAAAAATCATTCTGTTAGACATAACTTATAAAAGTTTTTACTAGTTAGCTGCAGTATTGCATGATTTAGCTGATTATGCCATTTCAAACTGCTGTCCACATACATAAACACAATTTGAACCAAAGTCATCATTTTAGTTTAAATTTAAAGCTTTTTTTGTTGTGGGAGACATAAAATATCAACAGAGATGAAAATTAATAAGTATAGAATTTCATCCATCTGTTTAATACCTCAGAAAAATCAAATCATTATCAGTGCTTAGACGGTTATACCATTCCTCGCCTTTACACATACATCGGTTTTCCCTGATGGTATAGGTAAAATTTTATATTCGTTTTTCCTTAACATTATCTCATTAACATTTTACATAATTGCCATAAGGTCTTCAGAACTATCATGAAAATCAATTGTGTAAGTCACTATGACTTAATGGAGCATTTCCCTGCTCCTAAACATCTTATCTTTCTCTTCCCCACCTCCAACCCCCATTTTTTTAACCCCCATTTTTGGTACTACCACTAATCACCAACATTTTCACTTCTGCAGTTTTTTTCTTGTTTTCGATGTTTCATCCTTTAGGTAAACCATCTGAAGTACAGATTTATGAATAATATTGTGGCTCTTGTATTAACCAAGTGCTTTGTGAATTTCACTGTCATTAGTCACAATGTACGTACATGTGATTTATACTGTGACTTTCTCCGACAGTCAGGTATTAGTAGTTTTATTGGAGAGAAGAGCGCTAATTTCAGAGATGAAATTTCTGTGACTTCATACTAATGGAAGCCCATTAGTATTGTTTTAATCTGCATTGTTATTATTATTGTTAAATGCTTTAAAATGTTTGCTAATCATATTTCCTATTGTGTGGATCGTCTTTGGGGGTTATCTAAAAATTCATGTGTTTTTTATTAAATTAAATATAATAAATAGTATATTTATATATCATAAATATTTTGCAGTGTGACTTTGTTACTTCAAAGCTCAGATAAAAAAATAAAAATAAAAAAATAAAAAAAACAAAGCTCAGATAATGCTCCTACCAAAGACAAATAAGCGATATCCCCATAATTTGATTAAAAAAATTATTTAATCCATCTGGCTTATGTTGTGAGATGTGTATCTAAATTACTTCTTTCTCAAACTCCAACACCACAACCATTTATTAAATATTTTTTCCTTTGTCATTGCTCTGTAGTGCTCTATTCTTATATATTAAACATATATAACATGTTGAGATTTTTCTATATTTTCCTGGATCTAGCCCAGTATCAAAAAAGATAAATTATATTATTTTCTATTATGATTTGGGGTCTGGAATGACTTTTCAACCTTTATAGCTTCTTTTTAAAAATAAACCTACATTCTCATTAGCTTATTTTCCCAAATAGATTTTTGTCATTCTATTGCCTTCTAAGAAAACGCAGCTGAGAACTTTATTGACATTATGCTTATATGTATAGATTAATGTGGAAAGGTTTCATAATGATTTTTATATCCAGAAACATAACTTATCTCTTTACTAATTCATCTAATTCTTTTATAATTCACATTAAACATTTTAGAGATATGTCCAATATTATACACATAAGGAGTAGCATGAGGTAATGGAAAAAAGCAGACTATGAAGTGAAACACACACATATACATATGTATCTAGGCTCAAATCGTGTGTGATCTTGGGCAAGGTGCTTAGCCTCTCTGAGCCTCGGGTATTTCCTCTTAAACTGAAGGTAATGGTACCTCCAGAACTGATAAAAAGAGTAGGGATAATGTATATAAAGCTTTTGGAGCATTTATGTATCCAATAAATGTTAGCTATGATCATAATTTTCAATATAACATGTTCTTAGTACTTAGCATTTTACAAAGTTGTTTCATGTATATTATCTCACTTGCTCTGTTGATTCTCATGAAACTCCATCAGATGATCATGTTGTTGCTATTATCACTCTTCATATAAGACCAAATAGGCACACATGTATCTTCTTTTAAATCAAAAACACAAGCTCACCTCATATCATCATGACATATATAAATGTATTTGTAGATCTCCCACATTACACAATAACCATGTCCCTGAATATTTTATGTTTTTTTATCTGCTATGATCATTGTAATTGCCCTTTCATTATATTTTCTATTAGTTTTGCCTGTTTAAAGGAATGCTTCTGGTTTTAGTATGTTTGTTTCATACTCATCAGTTTTATTGAGATCCTTATTACCCTTTAAAACTATTGATAATTCTTTTGGTTTTCTGGGTGGTCACATTTCCAAAATTAATCCTAAGTTACAGAATCATATATTAATAAAATCAGCCACTTAATTGAAAATTGGAGAAACGAAGACTCGTTATCCACTATGGTATCAAGATATAGTAAAATCTTCCTGTGGGAAACATAAATTTAAGAAGATCTTTTAGCTATTACTAATCTACTTCTTTTAGCTTGTAGATTGTATTACTTTAAGAATTTTTCTCATCAGTCCTGCAAAACTCATAATACCTTTCTTGACAGGAAAGGCTACCATTAGAGTGTGGCAGAAAAAGGAATCAATGAGAAGGCATACATCTCTTTTTTATCTTTGTGGGCTTTAAATATTATTCTTGAGGATAAAGGATAAAAGAATGAGCAGAAAGAAGTACCAACTGCATGCACTTGCATACTTGGAAGAGTTTCGCAGCTTCCTCGTCTCTTCATACATGGTTGGCAAGCTCTTTCTCATCATAACCTTGACCTTCCACTCCCAAATACAACCATTTTCTCCCTCATCCCCCCCAATATGTTTTCAGCTATGAGAGGATACATTTTTGTGCCTAGACTAGTCTATCCCCATCTACTCTCAGTAGGATTCTTCCTTTAAAAATTATTAATAATAAAATACTATTTTTTCATTGAGTCAGTCGGTTAACACCATCAAATAATCCATTGCCAAAAGCAGTCCAAATAAATCTACTGATGCCTGAAAGATGTTTCATTTTTACTTAATCATGTTTTGTTTTTATATCAATTACAAAAACAAAACAGAACTAGTAATAAGGGTTTAAAAAAATGATCAAGATGACATTTATTTTCACTGCCGCATTAGATGACAACCAGCTTCTGGTATGGTTTCAGTACTCACGGGGAAAATGATTAGAAGTGGATGGATTGACACTGTCCCCACTGTCAGCACTTTCACTGCTGGAAACTTCATCATCTGATTCCCGCACAGAGGAGCAGGGTGAGGAGCCGTCAACTTCTTCAAACTTCCTCTTTAAAATTCCACTCATAGCTGCGGCGCTGTCACATGTACCTGTAACAGGAACGGGAGCAACGAAGCATTGAAATATTTGACCGCTAGATGTGTAGCCAAGGTCTCCAGAGTCGTTTTTGTGTGTGTGTGTGTGTGTGTGTGTGTGTGTGTTTTAATATATGAGCTGAGCCTTTCCTTGAAAAGATCACTAAGCAGTTTTTTAAAAAATATTTTCAAATTAACAAAAACTAAATTAAATTAAATACGAGCAACTATTTGGTTACCAAAATGTGCTTTTTAAAAAGATGCAGTTCATTTTAGTGTAATGTCTCTATTTTTTTGTTGTTGGCAAATTGAGAAAATCCACCTGAACCCATGAAATTCTGTAACGAAAAAAATGCCAATATTTCCTCAAAGTCCTAAATGTTTCTTGCCTTATACAAAATTCCTCTGAAAGAAACACAGATAAGTATGCAAAAACTTCATAGTCTGAGTTTTAAAATGCAAGAACCTAATTAGCCGAACACAACAAAGCCTATGAAATCAGTTCTAAATTTTAGGGTGTTTCCATTTCAGTACTGCAATAAGATGAGATGTGTTCCCAGGACACCTGGTTACTGAAGCCCTTGCCACGGTTTCAGAAACTTCCTAAGGCTATTTACCTGAGAGATGGTGTTGAGTGGGAAGAGGGATGGGTGGGAGTGGTTTCTCCTAAATGCTTTCTCTAGGATGAATGGGCTTTCCTCTCTCCTTGGGCTGCCCTTTCTTCACCTTCCCCATTTACCTTGACGTATGCATAGTCAGCTAAAGAGCATAAACTTTCCTTGCAGTGTAAGGATATTTCGGGGAATTACCTATATATAAATTAGCTTATATATATATATATGTATATATATATATATGTATATATATATGCACATGGTCTTACATTGCTAAATTAGGTTAACTTCCATCTCATTTATGTCAGCTGATTTTAACTCTCATTTGAGTTCGTGAAACCATTCTCTCATTTTCCTGCCAGAGTGTAGCCATCAGTCCTGTTGACTGAGAGGAAGCAAGACTTAAAACTATTCTAGATACTGCCCTCAGACATCTCTGAAATTGCCCCACTCCTTCTCTGTGCGGATCACACAGCAAGCAGTCTGCTCGGTCCTTCAGCTGAGCCAGCTCTCCAAGGTCTAATTCTGTAGTTCTTAAGTGGGCTACTTGGATTAGCAGCATCAGCATCACCTGGGGGGGTGGGGATTGTGAGAAACGCAAATTCTTGGACCCCACTTCAGATCTACTGAATCAGAAACTCCCAGGAGGCAGTGCCTAGCACTCTGCATACTCAAATTGGAGGACCACTTGTCTCGTTTCCAGTCTGCTCTTCAGCAGCTCCCTTCCTGGGCTCTTCCTTCCTTTGGGTGTCCACATACCAGCCCTTGAGTGACATAACTCAGTACTGAAAACCTGGCCAAAATCTCTTCTTTCGCCATCCCCTGTGTGATTTCTCATAAAATTAAGTAGAGTACCAGATGTCTCATAAGTATTTATCATTAATTTCAATCTACTCATCTAAGTACATGTTGAGTAAGTGGTATGTATATGCTTGACTCCTTGAGTGGAGTAGATGATACAAAAGGGAGTAGAACATGTTACCTGCCCTCAAGGAGCAAATATCCACTACGCTGGTTTCATCCCACTGAGAGTACTCCCAAATTCATGTTCTACTGCCTTGTGTTACAAATCCACATCTTTTGCATGACTTATATTAACAATGCAGGTAACTGATAGCCATATAAAGATATTGCAATGTCCACTCTCTGAGAATAAAATCTCTATTCTGACTCTGATTTTTACCACTATTCAAATTAGCATATTATTTTCTCTATCTTAAAGAGTGTGAAATGCATAAAATGTTCATGCATATCTGAGCAGGGTAAGAGAAAAAAAGATATTTTAAGTAAAGTTCTTGAAATAAAAGTAGGACAGGATATAAATTTTAAAATGGTTCACTTCAAACAAGATGCAAAGTAATTCATGAGGGAGAGACTCCAAGACACAAAGTAATACAAGATGGAAACCCATGTTTAAAAAGTACATTTTTATAATAAGATATTGCAACGAGAACAGTTAAAAACCATACCCTTAAGCTCTATTTCCCCATTCCATCACTCCCAGCATCTTTAGGAAAGGCAGATTTCTCAAGAACCAAGGACATTCAATTGGACCACAGAGAACCGTGTTCCAATATTGTAAAAAGTGGTACTCAGTACTCTTCTTCTCAGGAATAGGAAGGGAAAGTTTTGGAGGGATGATAAGGAAAGTGAAAAATCTCTCTTTCTTTTTGTTATCACATTTGGGACTGGGAAGCAAGGAAGTTGCAGGTTAGATACAATTTCTGTCTTCATCTTTGAGATTGAAAGAGCCTGAGCTAGACACAGATCAAAAGAAAGAAGGGGCATCTGACCACTTAGTTTGGGATTAGTATGTAAGCTGGAAATCAAAAATTCAAATAATTACAGAGGGCCATAACCTTAACATATACCCATGATATTGGTTAAGTGCTGAATTTAACCAGTATTATTAAATGCAGCAAGCAAACATAGAATTTGTTTAGTTCCATTGCCTTTAAAAAGTACTTATGTGAGTGCAACAAGACGTCACAACAGATTATGAGAGTCAAATGACCCATTGTTTATAGGAATATAACCACTCATCTAAATCCAATGGTGGAGTGGTAAAATGAGCATGTGGTTTTCTTCTACATCATCTACACTATCTCACTAGGGAGGAAAGAATATAAGAACTCAGGGGGAAGGCCCTGTTAAGAAAGTAGTTGTATATACCTGGTTTTTTTGCATCATATATTGGTTTTCCTAGAATTTCAGGATGACAGTATGTGGCTAGTTAGGTACAGATGCAAGTGAGTAGAATGAATGCCTGTCTTATGGCTGCCACAGCTCCTTAAATATACACTTATCATATTTTTGTTCCTAAAGATGAGACATAATGAAACTTCTTGGATATGAAGCCAATGAAAAAGTGGTCAACATTTCAAACTGGCTTTATATAGCATCAAAGCCCAGAGAACAGAAGATAAATCTGGACAGGCATTAATTTGTTCTAAATATGAGAAGCTGAAAGTCTAAGCCTCAATAACAGCCATTTTAACACAGCTACTGTTTTCCAATTCATGAAACATATGCTAGTCAAGAGCGTCACCATTTCTCATTTGGACTAGGACAAGAGCTTCCTAATTATTCTCTCCTATCTACTACTGTTTGGTTTCGATGTGTTTTCCAGGTTGCAAGCAGAATGATAAATCTAAAATGCAAATCTTATCATGTCAGTCTACAGCTTAAAACTCTTAAGTGGCTTTGGATTGTCTTAGGATGAGTTCAAAATCCTTAAAATGGCTTATAAAGTCCTTAGCAATCTACTTTGGCTAACCTTTTCAGCGTCATTTTGAGCCATTGCCTTGTCGTCACTATTTTAGCTCTCATAATCTTTCAGTTTCTCCAACCTGCCATTTCTCCCTGGCCTACAGGCCTTTTGATATACATTCCTTCCAATCTCCTTTTTAATTTATTTTCCCATAGCACTTACCACCTTCCAAATCCATGTTACTTATTTATATATTTGATGTTTATTGCTGACTATTTTCATCCCTTGCTAAGAGATACAAGGGCAGGGATCTTTGTCTTCTTTACTATTGTACCAGTGGTCTAGAAACAGTACCTTATATATATAGGTGTTCAATAAATATCTGTTGATGAATGAATGAAACCCTTCTATACTTTAATTACTTTATCAATCTCTGTTTACTCTGCTAGACTGAAACTCCACAAAACAAAAAGCATGCTCATCTCATTGACCATTCTATCCCTCCTAACAAAATATTGAATGAGAATCAAAAGGAAAGATGAAATTGACCTCGAAACGTCATACATTTTTTTTTTTTGCTTGCAAGTAACCCAAAAGCAAATTCTAGCTAACTTAAGCACACAGACATCTGTTGGAAAAATACTGAACTAGTTCATGCCATCTAAGATCGAGCTGAAATCCAAAATTAAAGAAAGGCAGGAATAAGGATAGCTTCTAGGATTATGACTGTAGATATTCCTTGATCTTTCCTCTAGAGCACCACCATCACCGTCAGCAAGTTTGAGCCCAGCAACTTCTGTGTCTCACAGTTTAAAGTTTCAAGGGGTAAGAAACATTTTAGCCCATCTTGGGTCAGGGGTCAGCTCTTTGATCACTCAGCTGCATGGCCAGAAGGCAAAGAGCCACTCAATTAGGTACTACTCCAGAGAATCTCACTTGGAGGCCTGAATAAGTTCAGTTGCATTTCAAAGCCAATGTTCTCTCCTTGTCTAAGAGACACTGATTTATCTTCTTTTTTCATTTATTAGTATAGTCTATGAATTCTCCACTTGGACAGCTTCCCCTTTCCCTGCACCCTCATGCCCTTTCTGTTGCCAAATTTAATTAATAACCACTTCATTATAAAACTCCAATAAGCATCTTGTGATCTTGGATAGCCACTATTCTTGACTAACATATACTATCGTTCTTAAATTTTTATTAAATGTAACCATTGCTCAGAAGCCTCTGAGCACATTTAATGAAAAAGTAATAGAAAAGTAATGTTTTCAAATCTCTCCACGCACAAAAAAAATACCAATGAACTACACTAGATGTTTTACGGTCATAAGTGCGTTTCTTTTGTTTCGTGCATTTCTGGAAAAAATTATCAGAAGCTAGAAGAATGCAGACTGAAGTAACTGGGAGAGCTTCGCTAAGAATGCCAAAACAAGAAGCTGGATAGAAATGTACATTTTAATGCATTTGGAAGAATGACTGAAACTAACTTTGGGTATTTGTTGGGATCTTGTTCATATCACTCTCTTCTGACAGTGTAAAAATCTCATAGATTTCATAGGTGGCTCATTGAGTTCTTGTCACCCCACTTATATTCATCTAATGTTTAACCCCATTTTCTTCTTTTACTCTGTCCTTATTTAATAATGCTTTGCTCTGTATTGTAAGGAAATTATCACAGAAATATGCCTTAA